GGGTTGTCGGCTCCTTTTCTCCGTTGCTTCGCCAAAGCCTCCTCAAGCCGCTGGATGGCCCTTCGATGCGTCTTCAGGTCTTCGGAGCGTATCCACACTCTCACCTCTTCGCGATACGTGGCGTCCTGGCACTGCCCATCCCCACTGTGCATAGTGCTGTTACACCCTCCCCACATGATGTGGCGGAGAGTAGCTAGTTCACCTTCCCGCAGTGGTAATGCGTGGGCTAAGCTATTTATTCTGACGAATAGAAAGGAATGAAATTGCGGCAAGTTACTACTCCTCAGTATGGAATAGGGTGCAATGGAGGCATCCAATCTACATAGGCAGACGGGTAAACCACTCACCTCTTTACTGCAAGGGCCGCGTGATATCACATTTGAGACTTGGAGAGTTTTCAATCTAAAACAGTGGCAGATCTGTTTTTGGTCATGTAGATACATATCATGCTTTACGGGCAATATGGAGTGTTATTATTGTCGGAATGTCAATTCTTTCACTCGAAAGTGACTTGGTTATTGTCTTGCAGCAGAACACTCCAAACACTATGGTGATATTTGAACACAAATAAGGATCAGTTGCTCCTGCACATTAGGTTAATTATAGATTCACTTTTCCCAGAATATCAGCGTAGCCAGCCGGACTGAGAACTGAATAACCTCTTAGCCCTTTCCTTTTCTCTTCCTTCAATGTGACAACAGGGAAATAGCCCATGCACAAAGCCCTGTGCCTTCTTGACTAGCCTAGTTGATATGCCGTTCTATTGTTATCATCACATAACCCTACGTTAAAACATTTCGTGTCTGTAGGGTTCCCGTTGCAAACGTCAATGCAGAGCAGAACACTTCGAAACACCAGGACGAAGGCGAATCTTTCCATGTTGGTAAGTGATGTTATATTTGCCATCAATAATATAGCAAGGAAGCACGCCTCATCTTGCATTTATTAGCAGAAGTTCCTTTTGTGCGCGGAGAGTACATAAAAAATGCAAATTCCATGTGGCTTCTATGACTCTTGTAGAGTTTCATAGTGATCTCACCTATACTAACAAATTAATTGAAAAGACTTTCACATTGCTTAAATAGGGAATATTTGTGATGCAAACAAGTGAAAAAAATAAATAAAGCGTGCACTGCCAGTTAAAGGTCATCACATGAATTTTAGAAGATCCGCACAATGCAATTCAACGAGCTCCTTCTGTACCACTCTAAATTTCCGGACACATCAACGTTGGTTACGATGTCCTATTTTTTATCAAAAGTTGTGACCTTCAGTACCGATGCATTGTCATCGTCTGTTCTTTTCTGAAGAACTCTTATAGAATATTTTGAGATTTGAGGTCTTTTGTTGACAGTTCTCACGCATCATTGTCACAGTAACGAAGAACTACGTTTGTTTTCAGGGCAAATTCATGCGGCCGAAAACAGAACCGCCTTGCCACACTCAGTGTGCAGCAGCAGCTCCTTTGATTATGCCGTGCCCAGCACAAGCCGTACGGTCATAGGAGCTTCAGCGTGTGGCGAAAGCACCATGCGGTAAGGGCGAAATTTTGAGCGCCATTACAGGGAAGCCAGCTTATGGGATGTAGCATAGCAGTAGCGTTTGGCTTCACAGAGAAATCCGAGCAGGTATGCGTCCTCAACTACAGCATGGAAAAACTGCATAGAATTGCTCTGCAAGCTTGTAGCTGTTATTACGCATCTCCGCCGATCTTCAAGCTTTCGCCATAGAATGTGCTGTTCGTTCAGCCACAGGCCTGGCAAAACAGCTGTTCTGGTCGAGTACAGCCGCGGTGTCGTGGATACAAAACCACCGTGCTAATTAAACCAACACCACTCTTTAACCCACCACCGAAGCATTCTGTACAGATGATTAACAAGTGATTGTGAAGCACGGAGCCCTGGTATTTACCATGTTCCGTCTCTGTCAATTCAATGTTACGTTACTACCGAACCCTTAATTGGTGTTTGGTGCCCGTGTGTTCTTTCATTATTCTTGCGGACCAGGATTTTGAGTAAGGAGATTGGCTAAATTTGAGGCACATACGCCAATACTGGAGTTTCTAACCACAGATGCGTTATAAAAAAAGTTCGCCACATGTAGCGATAGAAGTTATCAGGTTCAAGAGTCAGCATGCGCTCAATTGCAGGCCGAGAATTCTGTAAAAATGGTTAACAAGAGAACTTGAACTACACCCAGCTACTCTGTTGTGGTCCAGCTTTGCACGATTTAGTGACATCTGGGAATTTTTTTTCTATTTAAAATGCTCAAATGACAAGGAACAGATGCACATGGGCCATATATGTCTCCATATAAGACATTGCCTTCAGAATAGAAATAGTTACTCAAAACATCAATGACAGTATCCAGCATAGCATCCAGTAACGATCCTCTTGTTATACAGACGCTTGAGCTGCTTAGATGCCATGCAAATGGATGAAAAACATTTTAAAATGTCACAAAGCTCGCAATTTCGCAGATTAGTGCATGTAGGGTGGACAAATATGCTTTACTATATCACTAATGCATTGGAAGAGCTTGTGAATAGCGGTTTTAAATATTAAGTCTTTATTTTACAGTGAAAGCTGTTATGAGATCACTTTTCGGGTCACGTGCAGTTGTTGTCCGCCGCCGCCGCCCACACCACCACCGCCGCCACTGATGTCCGTAACCACATTGCACTAAATTAGAAAAAAAATCTTCTAACAATCACACAATGGGGCTTGAACCCGGGTCCGCTGCGTGCTAGCCCAATATGCTGCCAGTAAGTTACGCTGGTGCTTATAACATGTCACACTTGCCTTAGGCAGGAACGACCTAGCACCAATGGCACACAGGGGCTCATACCCGGGTACGCTGGATGCCAGCCCAGTATTCTGCCACTGAGCTACACTGAGCTACACCGTTGCTTGTGACTGGTTGGGAAACTTGCCTTAGACAGGCTTGATGTTTGGAAAGCGATCGCGTTATTACAACCTATAAGGCGTTTTAAAACAGCGAAAAATACAACGAGTCGTCGCACGATGCGAAAAGCGTAACAAGTGGGCCGTCCGATGGTCCAATCCATCACAAGAGCTTGTTCTTCTTCCCTTACTATCTGTGGCACATACCTTTTCGTCCATAATTCCTCATCGTTGTCAGCCACTGCATGGACTTATGGCACAAAATTCTTTGCAAGGGTTTAGCGGATAGCATGCTTCTCAGAAGAATGACAAAAAATAGCATGGGGAAAGCGGACCACAAAAATTATTATTACACACAAAACTTTATTTTTGATGCCCTAGTGGGTACCAAACAAGTGTGCTTGCAGTAGTTACCCAATTTGTGTTTTGAAAAGGTCTGAAAGGCCGCTTTTGTAGCTTTCGCTGTGACATTGCAGCGCCTACCACGCAGGCTAGCGTTTTTTGCAACTGTACAATAATTTCAAAACTACGTCTTTTATCATGTCAATGCACGTCAGTGGAACTTGCTTTATTTATATATTTCAATATTTTGAAGAGGCTATTATTTTGTTACGCCTAGTGGTAGAAAATTTTGTACGGTGACTAAGTTCATTAGGAAAGTCGTACGCTCAACGAAAGTGCGAGCTTTGGGGGTGATTGCTTTAAAGGTAACATTGATTCTTACAGCCTTGCGATTGTACCACACATCAACAACCCTGGAATAGCTCCGGAATATTGGCGTCGTGTATTACCAAAACGAGCTACAGTGAAGGAAGAAAAACAACCTTTTTTTGCTTTGTTGCAGCGCAGAAAACGGCCGCGATTGCTTGCGCACATGTGTTATCTACTCCAGATGACGTTATATTGCCACGTTCCATTTCCCAAGTTTTTGTTATCGTCCAAAAACACCACACGATTCTTAGCGCGAACCACCAGATGTCACGGCGTCGTGATATGGCCGAAGACAGGAGACTTCGGGTTGGGATTTAACTGTTTATTTGGACGAACCTGTGCCCGGTAAACGGAAAGTCCAATTACAGCAGCATTCTCGCACAGATAGCAGTCTCGGACTGATAGCGGCGAACGGAGCGTCGGCCTTCGATCAACAACTGACAAGCGGCGAAGCACGTCGGCATTTATACTCTTGCTGTCGAATGTTCTAGCGTTATCGCTGGCGGTGGCGTAGGTTCCAGAAAAATCTGTACCGTTCGCACAGTGGGCGTGATCTTATCGAAATGATCTACTACAGTCCGGAACCTTCTCGAAAACTGCAGGCGCGGTTCGCACTGAGAATTGTGTGGTGTTTTGGGACGATAACAAAAACTTGGGAAATGGAACGTGGCAATATACATCTGTGTAAAGTTATTTTGCTTGGGAGAATATGCAATGTAATATTTCGCTAAGCTGCAGAACAACGTTGTGCCGATGTGCTCAGCTGGGAAGTCGAGTAGGCTTAGAAAAATAGGTACCGCAAACACTCAGGGACGTGATTGTAGGTCGAAAGTCATTCTCAGAAAAAAAAGCAGTCTCGTGACTTGATGCTGAGGAATTTCTCTACTCTAGAGGTACGAAAGTTTGATTAGAGGTTCATCTCAAGTGACTGTACATACTGTTTTGTCGTATGGAGTAGTAGTGAACGAGTAGGCATTGATTACTGTATAAATACAGCGAGGAAATTTTATAAGTTTGAACAAAAAACAGTGTGCACTTCTAAGAAAAATGTGTGTGTACGTTATGTACCAATCTTGAGTTGTTGCTGATCAATGCTAACGAATGCTAAAAAATGCGTAATGCTAAAGAGTACAATTAACCGAGTAGGCCTCACAAAAGCTATCATGTTTATCCAAACTGTCTATTGACAAAAATAGGCTACTGTCCCTAAACTTAATTGTGTGTGTGTCCTATTACATGCAATGTCTCATATCGCAGAGACGCTACTGGCTTCTCACAGAGGGAAAAGTGCGAGGATGTGAGCGTTTTGTACGGTGGCGTCAACCGCGGCCAGAAGCCACCGGGGGAACGACGCCACAAGTGTCAAGTGTGTGACAAATCATTTCAAAAAGAGAGCAAACTCAAGAGACATTGGCGCACGCATACGGGCGAGAAGTCCCATCATTGCTTCATATGTCAGAAGTCATTCTCAGAAAAGAGTAACCTCACAGATCATATGCTCACACATACAGGTGAGAGGCCCCATAGTTGCAACGTGTGCGATAAATCGTTTGCACTAAAGAATGCCCTCGCAAGACATCTCCGCATGCATACAAACGATAGGCCATACCATTGTAACACGTGCGATAAATCATTTGCACAAAAGAATGCCCTCAGAATACATATCCGCGTGCATACAGGCGAAAAGCCATATAATTGCGGATTTTGCGATAAATCATTTGCACAAAAGGGTGATCTCGCAAGACATCTCCACATGCATACAGGCGATAAGCCTTATAAGTGCGGATCATGCGATAAATAATTTGCACGAAAGGATAACTTCATATTACATATCCGCATGCATACAGGTGATAAGCCTTACAAGTGCGGATCGTGTGATAAATCATTTGTACGAAAGGATAGCTTTATATTCCATATCCGCATGCATACAGGCGATAAGCCATATCAGTGCGGCTCATGTGATAAATCATTTGCACAAAAAAGTGACCTCACAAGACATCTCCCCATGCATACAGGCGATAAGCCTTATCAGTGCCGATCATGCGATAAATCATTTGCACGAAAGTATAGCCTCCTACTACATATCAGCATGCATACAGGCGATAAAGCACATCAGTGCGCATCATGCGATAAATCATTTGCGCAAAAAAGTGACCTCACAAGACATCTCCACACGCATACAGGTGACAAGGCATATCCTTGCGGCTCGTGCGGTAAATCATTTGGACGAAAGTATGACCTTACAAGACATCCGTGCATGCACACAGGCGAGAAACCTTAAAGTGTGCTACATGCGCTGAACCATTCGCACAGGTGGGATATTTTCGTGAGCACAAACGCACGCACAAGGGTGAGATAAACATTAAACTTGCAACGTATTGGCTAAATCATTTCCACGGAAGGACAGTCTCGCATTACTTCACTACATGCATACAGGCAGGCGAGAAGCCCTATCATTTCCACGTGTCAGATAGATTATTTGAGCTAAAAGGTTGATCTCGTGGCACATCGCCTAATGCGCGCATAATACAAGTCTTACCATTGCAACAGCTGTGGTAAATCATTTGCCAAAAAGTCCTCTCTCGTGGCACTTCACAGGCGAAGATTCGTCAAGCGCACTACCTGCTCTAACTCCTTTGCATGGCTATGGACGCTTCGTTCACATAAATGTATGCATACACGTGAGATGGTCTTTAAATACAAGTTGTGTGCCAGTTCATAGAAGGCATCAGCTCTTGAAAGGCATCAACGCACGCAGAGAGTCAAGGAAGCGTGAGCCTGCCAAAAAAAATTGCCCACAGCTTCCCTCGGGGGAACACTAAGGAGGATGCGGACCATATAATTGGTTAACGGGGTGTTAAAGTGCGACTTACTTGGGTCGATGGCTAAATTGGTTAATGTGGTTGTAGGAGGGGGTGTTAAATGAGTGAACACGTACACACGTATGCGAAAGGGCGGCGCTGGTCGAAGGGACGTCGATCATTGTGTTTGTGGATTCGTTGGAATTCATTTCACCGCGACCTTGGACGTCGACGCGCCGTACAAACCAACCGACGAGCGGCAACTGAGCGAGCGAGCGCCGACCTTGAGTATATATACAGCACGACGGCGCATGCACTGTCAGCTGTTGAATGTTCTCGAAGCGCGACGCCACATGCGCGTCCACTGGAGAATCAGGAGAATTGTAGATGTCGAACGCGGTGTGTAGAGGAGGAAGGGTGCACAGATGGTGGAGGAGTGAAGCGCGCGCGGTGTGTAGAGGAGGAAGGGATGCACAGATGGTGGAAGAGTGGGCGACGGCGCATGCGCGCGCGTCAGCTGTCGAATGTTCGAGAAGCGGTGTGGACGGCGCGGACGACGCGGACGGCGCACTACAAGGCGCGAGTATAAGATGCTCCGCATCTAAAAAAGAACAAGGTCACTCATACAGGCGATGTACCTCCGTGTGATGACGTTTTTAAAAACTCATCGTCATACCTAATGACAACCAGACGTTGACACTTTCACAGTCCCAAGGCTGTGTACGCATTCACTACGGAA